TCCCGTTTGTCGCCAAGCGCGCGGTCTACACCTCGCTCATCCTCTCCATCCTGCTCTACGGGTGCGAGTGCTGGGCGCTCACCGAGCGCCTCCTCCACCGTCTCCGCGTCTTCCACGCACAGTGCGTGCGTGCGATGTGTCGTGTCACTCGCAAGCACGTGTGGGAGCACCACATCACGACTGGCGAACTCTGCGCCAGGCTAGGTCTCGACTTCATCGACTACTACATCGACCGACGCCGGCTGGGCTGGCTCGGGCATGTCAGCAGGATGGATTTCAATCGCCTACCTCGTCGCATGCTCTCATCGTGGGTGCCTCACGGCCGGCCGATCGGGTGCCCCAACATGACGTTTGGGCGCAGCATCCGCACCGCGCTCGACAAGTTCCACATCGACCGCTCGAGGTGGCCCGAGCTCGCCGCCGATCGCTCGGCCTGGCGCCAGACGCTGGAGAACAGGCGCCCGCCCGACGCCTTCTTTGCCATGCCGGCGAGGGCTAGGCCGCCCTCCCCGCGCATTGCGCGCACTAAACCAGTGCGCTCATGCTTGGCGAGAACCAATGCAGCGATGGACATCTCGCTACAGGCGCTCGCGGGGTCGTGAGTGGGGGTCCCCACTGCTGCCCCTCTGACTATACATTTGTCTGTGGTGATGCCTTTCCCTGAGAACGCACACAACGCCTCGTGTGTAATGCCCTGTGTTCCGCGAGTGCGTGTGCCCCGTCGTCCATGCTAGGACGTGTGTAACACTGACTGACTGACCATGCAGCAACAGTAAACACCCCAGAGCATGCCTCATGCAAACCCGAACGAGAAGAAGAATGGCCGCCGCTGCCCCGCGTGTCTGCGCACAGGTTCCCCGCCCTGCTACTGGGCGCGCTTGCGATGCCTCCGTGACGCGCGACGGCGGCGCATGGCATGCCTGCGGCGAGCGCCCGCGGCACTAACCAAAGAGGTCGGCCGCAATGTCCTTGTACGCCGTCGCACCGTCGTGCACCATGCCGCCCGTCGGGTCGTACTTGCTCATCTTTGCGTCGAACTTGTCCACCACCTTGCTGCCCGTCGGGTCCGCCTCCTGCTGCCGCTGCGCCTCCGCCACAACTCCGGCCAGGTCTCCCTTGGACAGGTGGTGCAGGTGGCTCTTTAGCGAGGAAGCGGTGGTCTCCTCCTCCTCCGCGTCGGCCACGGCGTGCCCGCCCTCTGCCGCGCCGCCCGCTGCGGGCAGCGGCCGGAAGACGGGGCTCCTCTCCCACTCCGCCGTCCCGCCGTAAAAGGAGATGAAGTCCGCCTTGGTGTACGCGCGGCCGTCCGTCACGTCGACGCGCAGCTCCTCCTCCGCCGCGGCCGAGGCCGTCGCGGCCGGCTCCGCCCCCCAGCCGCCGGGCGAGCTCTCGCCCAACGAGGAGCTCTCCCCAGCAAAGGGGGGAGACGGCGGCGGCGGCGGCGGTGGCGACGGCGGCGGCGGAGGCAACGGAGGCGGGGCGGGC